AGACGTGAAGTCGGGGGAGGTGGTTGTCTTGCCCGCTCGGCTCCCAGGTGTGAGGTTCAGGTTATGGGCAGGGGCTTGGACAGGCCGAGCTACTAGAGCAAGTCACCTGACCTCACGGGGCTGGGACTTCCTCTCTGGCCACCTCACGCGGATCAGGGAGGTGATGTGGGCCCAGGGAACACAAGTGGCCTCAGACCAGAGGCCACCATGACCCTCGTCACCACCAGGCCCACTCATGGACAGGTCAAGGAGGGACTTACTTGGGTGCTCCAGGGCTGAAGCGATCGGGGTTGAAAGTCAGTGGGTCCTCAAAGTACGTGTCCATCCGCCCCATGACGTAGGTGCTGAACTGCTGGGCAAAGGGGCTGTTTGCTGCTTGGCTCTGGCTCCAAATGGGGGTCCCCTTGCACCTCCCAACTCACTGTGGCCACCCAGCAGGGGGACTCCAAGTAGAGCAACCCCCCATTCCCTACCCACCCCCACCTCTCCACACACCTAGGTGAGTGTGAGCTTCTGCTGGACCCCGGGAAAATCTCTAGGAATGGGGCACCCCACTGGCTGGAATGCTCCATCATCCCATGCTGGGCACAGCCCGGGGGAGCTGCTGCCCCTACGTTACAGATGAGGAAACTGAGGCCTGAGAAAGGCTTGGTGACTTGTCTGAAGTGACCAGGCAAATGAGCAGTCAAACAGATTCAAACTCAGGCCTGACTCTGCAAGGCTGTCGTCCTGGATCCCTGAGAGCTGTGGGCAGCTCCTCTTTGACGCCAGGCTTGTCTCAGCAGAGGGCAGGGGTGGGGAAGCTGCAGCCCCCACCAGCCTCTCATGCAGACCACAGTAGAGGAAACAACAGCCCCTACAACTTGGGTCTTGGGTGCTGGCCTGGGCCCCTGCTACCCTTGGACAAAGTACGTCCCTGAGCTGAGAGCCGAGGGCAGCCAGCTGGGGGTGCAGAGGAGGAATGGAAGGCCTGGAGCTGCATTCTGAAAAGCGAGCATGAGCGTTAGGAGCGGGCGATGCTGGGGTCAAGGGCACCTGCTCCATGCCGGGACTCTGCCAGACACTCGACATACAATATTCCGTTACTCCTTCTCAATAGACTGACCTGGGTGCTGTCATCCCCCACCTTATAAGGATGAGACAATCCCAGATGAAACCAAGGGTCTGATGAAGGTGACCCAGCGAGCTGGGAGCAGGGTAGGGTAGTACCCAGGTTGGAGTGATCCGCAGGGGCTCGCCCAGCTAAGTGTACCAGATGCTGAAGAGGCGACCATTGAGGCAGAGTGGCGTCATACCCGCGTCGGGGGTGTGAAAGAAAATGGCTGGCCAGGCAAGAGCTGCCGTCGACGCAATGGTGATGTGTGGGAAGGACATGGCGCAGCCCGAGGGGTCGGGAAGCCATCGCTCTCCACGTGTGCACGTGAGAAGGGGCCCTGCTCTCAGCTGACGTGTGCCCCATTCACGTCGGTGCTCCAACCTTACAGCGTGACTGTTCTGAGGTAGAGTCCTTACTGGGGTGATTAAGTTACAACAAGGCCATCAGTGTGGACCCTAATCCCACTTGACTGGTGTTTTATAAGAAGAGATAAGGACAGACACAGAGGGAAGAGCACATAAAGACGTAGGGAGGCCACAGTCCTCCACAAACCAAGGGGAGGCCTTGGGAGGAAGCAGCCCTGCCAGCACCTGGATCTTGCACTTCCAGCCTCCAGGACTGTGAGAAGAATAAATCTGTATCCAGGCCATCCAGTCTGGACGGGAGCCCTCAGAAACAGATTCAGATCCCTACCTCACAGCATACAACGAGCGATTCCAGGTAGATAGGAGCTTAACTTTCAGAAGAAAAATGCGAAGGGGCAGAGGATAATGTGAACAAAATCCCTCTCAGCTCAGGCTAGGGAAGGATTTCTTAAATGAGACAAAAATGAAAGAACTAACCACTAAAAATTAAGAAATTCAGATCATCAAAGGCACATTAGTGAAGACAAGTTGCAGATCTGAAGATGCCTGCGACATGCAACAAAGGGTTAACACACACAGATGGCATGGTCCTCCCACATGGCCGACTGTGGTTCAAGCCCTGTACCTGGTGGCTTGAAAATGATACTGGGTATGTGTGTGTGCATGCCTTAAATCTTTTTTTTTTCTTTTTTCTTTTTTTCTTGGAGAAGTTTTTGATATATGGCATGTGCGCTCGCCAGAAAGACAGAGAGACAGAGAGACAGAAAGCAAGAAATCACCCCCCGGGGGGGATGGCCATGCCGCAATCCCTTCTCCTCCATTCTCCTCTCGGGATCCTGGGCACGCATGCACACGCATCCGCCGTGAGTTTAAGCCATTAGGTCCGGGACTCGAACTGCGGTCGACCACATGGGAGTCCAGCGACATAGCCATTATGCTAACTGCTGGACCCCGTGCCTGCAATCTTGAGAGGAGAATGAAGGACAAGGGACTGTGGCACGGCCACCCACCAGGGGGGTGATTTCTCACTTTCCCTCTCTGTCTCTCATGGGTGAATGTGCACACCCTATTGCAAAAAAACTAGAAAAAGAAACAAAACCAAAACACACCAATTTTAAATAAAGCTCTACACATCAATAAGGAAAGACGAACAACACAGAAGGGGAAGCTTCCTGAGACAGAGACCCACAGAGGAGGAACCTTCCCACAGCCTAGGGATGCCCGGCGGGCTAGAGGTTGGGGCATGCGGCCTCCATAGGCAGACGCCACTTTGCACGTATCTGGCTGCCAGAACCCACGTGGGCTGTGCTAGGTGTCGGGGAAGATGGGCAGCCTCAGCTCTGTCCTCTCAACCACTGGGTGTCCAAGTTGGCTCAGTCACCTGGAAAGCCTTGGCATTAGTTTGTGGCATGGACACTCGTGTGTAACGTGGACACACGTATGTAATGTGATGCTTGTATGTAATGTGGACACACGTGTGTGCTACTGCTCGGCCCTCCCACTCTTGGATACATGCCAAGACACATACACACGCTGGCATGTTGAGCCAGGACACACAGAAAGAAATGCCCTGGCTGCCACAGTGCATGGGGTGCCTGTCAACCCCAGAGGTGAAAAGCAGTGGCGACGTGTCCAGCAGCAGTGAAAATGGTGACCTCCAGCCTCACAGACACACCTATGGCAATCCAGTAACCGCTACACAGAGTCACAAGGCAGTCCTACGACGTGTTCCTATGTGGGCGCACGTATGCATGTGCACATGCATGCACACACATGCTCACATGTGCACGCACATGCATGCGTGCACACATGCACAGACTGCATGCACAAAGGTGAGGGGCCAGCGAGCACAAAGGTCAAAGTTCAGGAGTGACTACTTCTGGGGGAGTATATGCAGACTCCCTCCCAGGGGCCTAGCTAGGGATGGGTGGTGGTGGGGGCAGTCATACATGAACGAACGCCGGGATGAAGGGACAACTAAATGGATGCGCAAAGAAAGAGAGAAATGTATGGGGGGTGTGGGGCCAGACCGCAGCTGGGAGGGGCTGTCAGCCAGGAGAGGTCACCTGTGAAAGAAGGCGTTTCCCTAGCTGCCCTCGCTGGCTGTGCGACTGCAGGAAAGTGACCTAGCCTTCCTGAACCTCAGGGCCGTCAGCTGTAAATGGAACAGCCCCCTCCCCAAAGCGTCTGCTGTACTCTTACACTGGACAGTATGAAGGGGAGAAAAGGCCTTGCAGGTCGTGGTGAGACCGAGGCACACAGGTGGCCTGTGAAGGGGCGTATGGTGACGGCCACAGGGCCGCAGACTTCCCTGACCTCAGTGGAGAGCCTGCGTTGGCCACCCAGAGCAAGCGGGCCAGCCCACCCCGTGGCATCCCAGGGGACCCACATACCAAAAGTGGGGTGTTGCCAGGGACTCTGACCCCATCGATCAAGGTCTCCTCCTCCAACAGGCGGAAGGTGCCCCACGCCGGGGGGTACAGCCTCAGCGACTCTTTGAGGACCTGCAGAAGCCACCAGGGACATAACCGGGAATGAGAGGGCCCACAGAATGTGTGGGGGCGGGCCTGGGCCCAGCCCTCTCCCACTTGCACTGCTCCACCCCTCATGTGACAGGTGGAGAAACCAAGGCCGGGGAGAAATGAGTCATGTAAGGCCACAGTAGCAGAGCCAGGACAGGAACCAGGACACTGCCCCAGAAAACCATGGACAGAGGGTTGTGCTGGCGGCAGAACCCAGCCAGGCCTCCAGCTGCGTGCTGTGACAGTGTGGGGTGGGTCTGCTGAGCCTGGGCATGGGGGCTCAAGGCCTGCAGGGTGCAGGCCAAGCTGGGACTAGGCTGCCCCAGCACCCTTTCCCAAAGGGCTGGTTCCAATCTTAGCTGCACAGGGGGTTGCCTGGGGAGCCCTCTTGTACTCAGTCTGGGGCAGCCTGGGCCTCGGGGTGCTTTAAATCTCCCAGGGGTTCAGAGGCAACGGTCTGAGAACCACTAGGCCAGAGCTCAGAGAGGCAGCTGGCTGACTCGGGCCACCCATCCTGCCCCAAGGCACCACTCCCTCCCCCACACCTGGGACAGGTACTGCAGTCTCCCCAGGTCCTCGAAGTCCAGGTGTCTCTTAGAACCCACGACCTCATCCACCTCGGCCTGCAGCCTGTTGGGTAAGACAAAGTCTAGCTTACTCCAAAGGGAGACTTTCCGCACGAGAGTTTAAGGGGAAGGGAGGCTGCGTGGAGAGAGGTGTGCAGTCCCCCACCTGCACACGCATGGCCTCCCTGCGGCTCGGCCCCAGAACCCTAAGACCTCTGCCCTTTGTGCCACATAGCCAGGCCTCTGCACAGAAGTGCCCAGCAGGGGATGGCAGTGGAGCGGCATGGGCGCTGGCAGGTGAACAAGCGTCAGGGTGTGCGCTGCGTGAGCAACCTGTGGGCAGCTTTCAGAGCGGCGGGGCCCCCTTCACACTCAGGATGGCCATTGTCAAAATCAGAACGTAGCGTGCTGGTGAGGACATGGCCGTGGTGGCATGTGCTGTGGAGACACTGCTACGCAAGCTGGCACCACATGGGAGGCCCAGGTTCACCGTCCAGTCCTGCCTAAGACCGGGGACCCTAGTGCGAGCCGGCAGTCTCAGGGACTCTGGAGGCGGAGGCTGGAGGGGCTCCAGCTTGAGGCTGCCTGGGCCACATAGAGAGACCCATTCTGAATTAGAGCTGAGTGAGGGGCCAGCCAGTAGCATGGGGGTTCAGGCAGCTGCGCTGCGTGGTTCAAGCCCAGGACCCAGAGGCTTGAGAAACATGCCAATGAACATGGCGAACCCTCAGAGACGAGGAAGGAGGGGCTGTGGCATGGCCATCCTCGCGGGGTGGTTTTTCACTTTCCTTCTCTCCCTGGCTCTGTCCAGTGAGCGCATGTGCCCTGTCTGCGTGAGGGAGGGTGGGGGTCCCAGCCAGTAGCATGGGGGTTCAGGCAGCTGCGCTGCGTGGTTCAAGCCCAGGACCCAGAGGCTTGAGAAACATGCCAATGAACATGGCGAACCCTCAGAGACGAGGAAGGAGGGGCTGTGGCATGGCCATCCTCGCGGGGTGGTTTTTCACTTTCCTTCTCTCCCTGGCTCTGTCCAGTGAGCGCATGTGCCCTGGAGTAAAACTGGAAAGAAAAAACCAGCGCTGAGCATGGGGGCATGCACCTGCTGTCCCTGCCACTCGGGAGGTTGAGGCAGGAGGACTGTGACAGCAAGACACTGTCTTAGAAAAACACGGTGCAGCTGTGTGGGAAGTGGCATGGCGAGTCCCCCAGAATGACTGTAACTTACTCTGTGAGCCCGTCCGTTCCTGGCTACGCACACGGGGCAGCAGGGACCCAAGGCACAGCTGCACGCTCGTGTCACGGTGCCATCACTCACAGCAGGCGAGAGGCAAAAGAACCCACGTGTCCTCGGGCAGGTGACTGGACAGACAGCCACCGTGTGGGGCGTCCTCAAGTGGGCGCCCCCAGCCGTAAAAAGAGGGACGTTGCGAGGTGGGCTCCCACGTGAGTGAGCCTTGAGCACGTTACGTGAGGGAAACAAGCCGGTCTCAAAGGGACAGACACCGACAATCCCACCTTCGTTAGTCCTTAGGGCGGACCAATGCCTGGAGACATGGTGGAGTGGCGGGTACCGGGGCCGGGGCTGGGGCTGGGGGGGTGGACGTCTATGAGCACGGAGCTTCAGTCAGGGAGACAAACCGCTCTGGAGATGGACGTGGGGGTGGCTGGGCAACCCCAATAATTAAAATGTTAAACTCTGTTATATTTACACATGTATGTGTAAAGGTATGCACGTGTGTATTTTATATATGTTTGTGTGTGTATATTTTATAAAATATAATATGTATTATATATGTAAATGCACATATATATGTAAATATATAAATATATATATATTTTTTTTTTTGGAGAGGTTTTTGCTATAGGGCACGTGCGCTCACCAGAAAGACAGAGAGAGACAGAGAGACAGAAAGCGAGAAATCACCCCCCAGGGGTCCCTTCTCGTCCATTCTCCTCTCGGGATCTTGAGCACGTATGCACACACGCTCAGCATGAGTTTAAGCCACCGGGTCCAGGATTCGAACCACAGTCAACTACATGGGAGTCCAATGACAAAGCCATTACACCATCTGCTAGTCCCTATATAAAACATATTTTTATAAAAATATATTTATTTGTATATAAAATATATTTTCACGTATAAGTATATATTTTATATAACATATACATACATATGTATATATATAAAATTTGTTGTAGGGCCTGTGCAGTCACCAGAGAGATGGAAACGGGCAGGGAAAGTGAGAAATCACCCCTAGCGGGGCTGGCCACCCACACTCTCTTCTCAGGACTTGGGGCACACATGCACACGCACCTGGCGTGTTTTTAAGCTGCTGTGTCCTGGACTTGAAGCACAGCCCTGCGATTCCAGCCGCCTTGATCTCTGCACCCCTGGCTGCCCTATGCTATGTGTATCTCACTGCCGTAAAGAGCAGAGTGGGTCCAGAAGCGGCTACAGTAACACCACGCTGTGATCAACTTGGCGGAGAGGTAAATCAGCTAGACAAGGGGATGGAAACTGCACAGGGGGTGCAGACTGGGGGTGCTGCATGGGTGCTTGGGAATCCGTAGTGAGCTGCCTCCAGGCGGGTGGAGTGCCATGGGTAGTTGTTATTATCTTAACTTTTGCTTTTTCCAGATTTTTTTTGAAGTGGACCAGAGAGAGATAGCAAGAGAGAAGGAAAGTGAGAAAACTAGCTGCCAGGTCCGGGACTCGAACTACGGTCAGCCATGTGGGAGTCAAGCTGCCTTAACCACCCCACCACCTGCC